AAAGTCCTTAAAAAAAAAAAAAATTAGCGGCACTTCTCTCTCTAAACTCAATCACATTACACTCAACACACTCTCTCTCTCTAGGAATCTCTCTCTCCTTCTCCTTTGGATCGATTCGGATTTGGTGAGTGTGTTTTCCGGTGAGTCGTGTAAATCTGAATCGGAGATTGAATTCAGATCTGAACAGAGAAGAGATTCCAGATCGGTGGTTGGGGTTGGTGATGGAGGAAGCGCTCGAAATGGCGCGAGCCAAGGACACGAAGGAGCGCATGGCTGCTGTAGAGAGGCTACATCAACTTCTAGAAGCTTCTAGAAAGAGTTTAAGCCCAGCGGAAGTGACGTCACTTGTCGATTGTTGTTTAGATCTCCTCAAGGATAGTAATTTTAGAGTCTCTCAAGGTGCGCTTCAAGCGCTTGCTTCCGCCGCCGTACTCGCCGGTGAGCATCTGAAGCTTCATTTGAACGCTCTTGTACCTGCAGTTGTTGAACGGCTTGGTGATAGTAAACAACCAGTTAGGGATGCAGCGAGGCGTTTGTTGACAACTCTAATGGAGGTGAGAACAAAAATGGCTTTTAAGAATTTTTTATTTTGATTTTGAGGGAATTTGGTAGTTAAGAAGCTATTGTTTGGTTTGATATAGGTTTCATCTCCGACGATTATAGTTGAAAGAGCAGGTTCGTATGCTTGGATGCATAAGAGTTGGAGAGTAAGGGAAGAGTTTGCGCGTACTGTCACATCGGCGATTGGTCTTTTCGCATCCACGGAGCTCCCTCTCCAACGTGCTATACTTGCTCCGGTATCGATTTAGATTAGAATGAGCAATGTTTTGATTGGTTTTAAGGCAGGTTGAATCGAATTGAATTGATCTCGGGGTATCTTTGCTTATGTATCAGATACTTCAGATGTTAAATGACCCGAATCAAGCAGTTAGGGAAGCTGCAATTTTGTGCATTGAGGCAAGTTTGTTTCATCCTTTATGTAACTCAATCTTCCAACTTTACTCAATTGATTTCCTCTGAAAAAACCTTCGAGTAATCTCTTATCATAAGGGAGACTTTAAAATCTAGTTTTTTGCACTTCGAATTACATTATTATGAATGCTATAATAGTAAACCCAATCATTTTTTCTGTGCTGTTTGAGTAGAGAATTTCGCTTTCCCCATGGAGCTCTGTCTATTTGTTTTAATTTCATAATTCTGGTTTCTTTCAGGAGATGTACATGCAGGGTGGGTCTCAATTTCGAGAAGAGCTTCAACGCCACCATCTTCCATCATATATGGTAAACCTCAGTTTAAGATTGATCATTGATCCATGTTCAGTGTGAGAACGCATGATGCATAGCAATAGTTTCCATCTGTACCGTAACTTTGATAAAAAATTATATGATTACAGTCTTGGGGCGCTCTTTGCTAGAACTCCTTTTGTGTTTTGAATCAGGTAAAGGATATTAATGCTAGACTAGAACGTATTGAGCCACAACAGCGCTCTACAGATACGCGAGGTGGCCACCATGTTGTTAATGAGGTTAAGGCATCAAGTGTCAATCCAAAGAAAAGCAGTCCCAGGGCAAAGACTTCCACGAGAGAGAACTCTTTATTTGGGGGTTAAGATCTTTCTCCCAAGGATTAAAATCTAAATTGATGTTGTAATATTTCCATCTCCGCTGACTAGTTTTGTATCTTTGCATTTCAGGAGATGCCGACATCACAGAAAAACCCATTGAGCCAATCAAAGTGTACTCAGAGAAGGAGCTGATACGAGAATTTGAGAAAATTGCTTCAACACTCGTCCCAGAGAAAGACTGGTCAATGCGTATATCAGCTATGCGGAGGGTTGAAGGACTTGTTGCAGGAGGTACTTAAATCAATTTTTTTCTTTCCGTTAACTGAGTTTCATTTGCTTTGATTGCTATCCTTGATATTTTATGCTAGCAGTGGAGGAATTTTCTTGTATACCATCTTATGGAATCTTTTTCTGTTGAAGGTGCGACTGATTACTCTTGCTTTCGCGGTCTCCTGAAGCAACTTGTTGGTCCCTTAAGTATACAGTTATCTGACAGGAGATCCACCATTGTTAAGCAGGTTAGCTAAATTGTCAATTTGATATTTTCTTTATTAGGATTTAGAATGGATTTTGAATCTTCTTTTCCTGGCAATGGAGACAAATTGATGAGTTGACTAGTCGGCTAGGAATTCCATTTTCATTGAGTACTTAGTTTATGGGAATTTTATATTTTTCAATACCAAGTACCAACGCCCTGCATCTTCTTAAAACTTTTATTCATTTTAGCCAGATTAACACATTTTGCTAGTGGGTATTGTTCAGTAGGGGTGAACAGTAGATCATTGAATGCATCCATTTTGTGTCATTGCCCTTCCTTCATATGCTCTTTCTCGTGTTCATAGGCTTGTCATCTCTTGTGTCTTTTATCAAAAGAGCTACTGGGAGATTTTGAAGCATGCGCTGAGATGTTTATTCCAGTAAGCTTAACCTCCTGTCATTCACGGTTATGACATCCAATGCATATACATTTTTGTTAATATTATTATATGGTAATCAGGTACTTTTCAAGCTGGTTGTGATCACTGTGCTTGTAATTGCAGAATCTGCTGATAACTGCATAAAAACGGTAAATGATTAGCTCCCCTGATTTTGGTTTCTAGCATGTTTTCTGCTCGTCTAAGCTCTGCACTTACACAGATACTTTCTTGCTATTCCAGATGCTGCGTAACTGCAAAGCTGCTCGTGTACTTCCTCGCATAGCTGAATCAGCAAAACATGACCGTAATGCAATTCTGCGAGCAAGGTATACTGGAGCCTTCCTATCAACCATAAGATTTTCTGGTGTTATGGAATATGATCCCCTTCTTTTATACAGGTGTTGTGAATATGCACTGTTAACGCTCGAACATTGGCCTGATGCTCCAGAAATTCAACGGTCAGTTGATTTATACGAAGATTTGATTAGATGCTGTGTTGCAGATGCTATGAGTGAGGTAGGTTTGTGGTGCCATTTTCAATTGTAGTACACTTTTTATGTTGTAGATGCTATGAGTGAAGTAGGTTTGTGGTTCCTTGCTTCATTTCTGTGCGAAAGCAGTGATTAGGGTTCGATACAACTTTTAATGAGATGTGTGTTTTGCATCAATAATATCAAATGCTTTGTATATGTTGTGTTGCCCATCTATCATTTTCCCATGTGCCATTAGAAGCTGCTAACATATTAAATAATAGGTGCGGGCCACTGCTAGAATGTGCTACAGAATGTTTGCAAAAACTTGGCCGGATCGTTCACGTCGTTTGTTTTCCTCCTTTGACCCTGTTATTCAAAGGGTAAGGTTTCTCACCTCCGTACTCTGTTTATTAGTAATTTAGTATTGATGAGGTTTGATAACACATTCCATATGCTCTCAGCTAATAAATGAAGAAGAAGGTGGAATTCATAGGAGACACGCTTCGCCATCTGTCCGTGAGAGACACTCCCAGCCTTCATTTTCTCAGACGACTGCTCCATCTAATCTACCTGGCTATGGAACATCAGCTATAGTTGCTATGGATAGGAGTTCTAATTTATCATCGGGGGCATCCCTTTCTTCTGGGCTACTCCTATCCCAATCAAAGGATCTCAATAAAGGTTCTGAACGAAGTCTGGAAAGTGTGTTACAATCAAGCAAGCAGAAGGTCAGTGCAATCGAAAGTATGCTCAGAGGACTGCATATATCTGATAGACAGAATCCTGCAGCCCTTCGTTCAAGTAGTTTGGATCTAGGTATTAAGCTTCTTTCCTTGTGAGGCTATATTTTGTTTTCAAAATGTTCTCTGATATGAGAAATATCCTTGCACAGCTAAATTGTCTTTTTTCTCCCCTAGTGCAGGAGTGGACCCTCCATCGTCTCGTGATCCTCCATTCCATGCTGCTGTTCCAGCATCCAATAGTCTCACGAGCAGCATAACAGCTGAATCAACGCCTGGTATCAACAGAGGCAGTAGTCGCAGTGGTGGCCTTGGTTTGTCAGATATCATTACCCAAATTCAAGCTTCAAAGGACTCAGGAAGACAATCATACCGTGGCAATCTGTTGTCCGAGTCCCATCCTAGCTTTTCATCCTTGACAGCTAAACGGATTTCAGAGAGAAATGAAAGAAGTTCTTTTGAGGAAAACAACGATGCCAAGGAGGCAAGGCGGTTTATGGCTGGTCATTTTGACAGACAGCAGATGGATAGCGCTTATAGAGATTTGACATTCAGGGATTCAAACGCTAGCCATGTACCCAATTTCCAGAGGCCACTTTTGAGGAAGAATGTTGGGAGCCGAATGTCAGCAGGCAGGAGGAGGAGTTTTGATGATAGCCAACTGCAACTTGGTGACATGTCAAATTATGTTGATGGTCCAGCTTCCCTGAACGAGGCTCTTAATGACGGACTGAACTCAAGTTCTGATTGGTGTGCCAGAGTTGCAGCTTTTAATTTTCTCCAAACTCTGCTGCAACAAGGCCCAAAAGGTGCTCAAGAAGTAATTCAAAGTTTTGAGAAAGTAATGAAACTATTTCTCCGGCACTTGGATGATCCGCACCACAAGGTCGCGCAAGCAGCACTGTCGACACTCGCGGATCTTATACCATCTTGCCGAAAGCCTTTTGAGAGCTACATGGAAAGAGTGTTACCCCATGTGTTTTCACGCCTAATCGATCCTAAAGAAGTAGTTAGACAACCTTGCTCTTCAACCTTGGAAATTGTCAGCAAAACCTACAGTGTAGATTCCCTTTTACCTGCATTGCTTCGTTCACTGGATGAACAAAGATCACCAAAGGCTAAATTAGCTGTGATCGAATTTGCCATCAACTCCTTCAACAGGTACGCTGGTAACCCTGAAATTTCGGGCAATAGTGGCATCCTAAAGTTGTGGCTGGCAAAGTTGACACCGTTAACCCGCGACAAAAATACCAAGTTAAAAGAAGCTTCCATTACTTGCATCATATCCGTTTATAATCATTATGATTCTGCGGGACTGCTAAATTACATACTTAGTTTGTCGGTTGAGGAGCAAAACTCTTTGAGAAGAGCTCTCAAACAATATACTCCCCGCATCGAGGTGGACCTATTAAACTATATGCAGAGTAAAAAGGATAAGCAGAGAATAAAGTCTTATGACCCATCTGATGCCATTGGGACATCATCTGAAGAAGGATATGCTGGTGCTTCCAAGAAAAATATATTCCTTGGCAGGTATTCTGGGGGTTCTGTTGACAGTGATAGTGGCAGGAAGTGGAGTTCTTCCCAGGAGCCGACAACGATCACTGGTGGTGTCAGTCAAAGTGTTTCCAGTGGAACTCAGGAAAAGCTGCATCACAACTTCAGAAGTGGGATTAGTGCTGCTAGTGATGTCTTGAACCAAAAGGATTCTGATTATACATTTACTTCAGCTGGTCAGAATTTGATATCAAGAACTAGCCCTAATGGAAGCTCAGACAATATCGAAAACTTGGACGCCTTATCTCCACCACATTTGGAGAAAAATGGTCGGAATATGGCGAGCGCTGATTCATTGGAAGAAAGACATGAAAATGAGGTCTCCCGCGAATTAAATTTGAGTCACTACATCCTCTCATCTATTAAGGTTAACCCAACATCGGAATCTGGACCCAGCATTCCTCAGATTCTACATATGGTTAGTAACGTTTGTCACATCTGCTATATAAGTCGTTATATTTTTCTCTCTGGTCCTGAAAAAACATGTCTGATGATTGTGCTTTCACAGATCAACGGGAGTGATGGAAGCCCTTCTTCGAGCAAGAAATCCGGACTCCAACAATTAATTGAAGCCTCTGTAGCTAACGAGGAATCAGTTTGGACCAAGGTATACCTAGTACCCTAATTCCACTAGTCGGAGTAATTGGTCCTGATACTTATAATACTACTGAAAAAATGTAGTTACCGGATAGTTCTTAATCTACTCCATTGCAATTTACAAGGCTAAATGAGATTAGGTAAGACTAGAAAAATGTGTGTTGGTAAACTTAGTTGGTGGATTGCCTGTTCTATATGGGTTTTAGGACTAGAAACATAACAAGCCAACATGGAATTTTTTGTCATGTGGTAGCAGCTGTATTCA